CACGAGCTGCCGCGGGGCCGGCTGGACCTGGCCACGCAGAGCCTGACCCTGGACACCTGCCGGGCGCTGGGCGCGCTGCTGCCCAAGGAGGCCCAGCTGACGGAGTTGGTCCTGAGCGACTGCATGCTGAGCGAGGAAGGTGGGCGGCGGGCCGGGCAGCCTGAGCCCTGAGCCTCGGCGGCCTCCCTCTGACCCGCGCTCCATGGCCGCATGGGCCCGGCCCTCAGTCCCAATAGAGACTCCATCCCCACTGTCCCGGGAGGTTCCTCCTCTTGGGCCCTGGAGTTAGCAGGCAGCGAGGCCTCTTCTGAAAGCTTGGGGGCGAGGGCATTGTTCTTTGTAACCAAGAAGCCTTAGGAGAGTCCAGGGTGCTGGTGGGCACGGGCGTTGGCGGCCTGGCTGCATGCTGGGCAGAGGTCGTCGGTATTTCAAACGTGACACAGGCCTGAACCTGACCGGTGGGGGGCCGCCGGGACTGGCTTCCCTCCCAGGAGTCTCGGGAGGTGTCCCAAGATGGGGCCCAACCAGGGCCCCAGAGGCAGAGAGTGACTGCCCCGCCCCCTTACAGGGGCCACACTGCTGCTCCAGGGGCTGTGTGCCAACACCATCCTCCGGCTCCTGGATCTGAAGGTGAGGGACCTGCCGGGAGGGGGAGGAAGTGGGTGCCCCGGCGACATGGGGTCTGGGCCGTGGCCGGAGACTGAAAGAACTGTTGGCACCCAGCGTCACTGTGTCCTGGGGGTTCTGGGCGCACGCGTGTGTGTGTGTGCGTGCACGCATGTGTGCGTGCACATGTGTGTGCACGTGCACGTGTGTGTGTGTGTGTGTGCGCGTGCGTGTGTGTTCTGAGGGTGGGAGTGTGAGTTCCAAAGGGTCCCCATAAGCAAACCAAACGAACCGGCCCCAGGTGGCCCCCTGCGGGCAGGGAGCCGAGCCTGGCCTCCCCCACGGCCTGACCAGGGCCCTGTGGGTTGTGAACGGCCGGACAACGGGTCTGCCTCTTCCTGTCTGTCCCAGGGCAACAACCTTCAGGCCAAAGGGGCTGAGGCTCTGGGCAAACTCCTCCGACAGAACAAGTCCATTCAGAGGTAAGGTGCCGCCCGGCCCCCGCCCTCCTCCCCAGCCCCCCGTTTCTCTGCACCGGCTAGGGCTGGCCCCAGAGGACTGGGTTCTGCCCCTGAGGGTTCAGACCTTCCAGCCGGTTGCCCGTTTGCCGTCCATCTGCGGGGAGTCTCTGGCTCCAGACTTCCTGCCAGAGAAGCCCGGGCCTTCCTCCCCACCAACCCCGAGTCCCAGGGACCCCATGGGAGCAGGTGCTCCTCGACCCTTCCTGCAGCCTCACCCTGGAGTGGAACAACCTGGGTGCCTGGGAAGATGCCTTCGCCACCTTCTGCCGGGCGCTGGCGGGCAACCTCACCCTGCGGCAGCTGGACCTTCGCAACAACCAGATCAGCCACCAGGGCGCGGAGGAGCTGGCCCTGGCCCTGAAGGGCAACACCAGCCTCCAGCAGCTGGGTGAGGCCCGGCGGCTGGCCCCCTCGCCCTCCCGCCACTTCCCTTGTCCTGTCCCGGGAGCCGAGGGCTGGGGTCAGGAGGCCAGGGGAGTCACTCTGGACGCCTGCCTGTGGGTGATGCCCCAAAGGAAGCGTCCTGGCCAGGCCGCCTCCCCAGGTGACGAGGTTTCCTCCCAGACCTGCGCTGGAATAACATCGGCCTCCTGGGCGGCCGGGCCCTGGTGAGCTGTCTCCCCAGCAACAGAACCCTGTGGAGGCTGGAGCTGGCTGGGAACAACGTCCCCAGTGACGTCCTCAGAGCCGTGGGTACGGGCGCCCTGTTTGGAACTGTGGGACCATAAAGTGCCCGAGGCCCTGCCTCCGAGGGAGGGGGTGTCCCTAGATTGAAAACGGAACGAGAGCCGCTCCTGGAACCTGCTCATTTGGTTCTTAGATTCCCCCAAGGGCGGTCACCCATTCCACAGATGAGGAAGCGGAGGCAGTGTGGCCTCGGCCTTGCTTGCCCTGACGGCCGAGCTGCTGCCTCGGGGGGCATCTGCCCCCGCCACCCCTGAGTTCATGGCCGCCAGGTCCGAGCCACGGCCCCCATGGCCCTTTCCCGTCAACGATGCTGGCTCCTCGGCCCAGGCCCAGCAGAGTGCCCCGCCCTTCCCAGAGGCTCCTCGTCCTGCCAGCCTTCAAGGGCCCACACTCGTCTGGAACCCTGCACAGCTCTCCACCTTCTGCTGGGGCTGCCTGGCCCGTGTCACCTCTGGCTCCTTCATTCTGGGCCTGCCTCTGGGTCACCCCAGCTGTTGTCATTACTCCTGACACCAGGGCCACTTCTGGCTGGTCCCTCTCCAAATGCTGCCCAGGTCTTCCCAGAACCTAGGAGCTCACCACTTAAAAGTCACACCGTGGCCTTTGACCTCGGGGACGGAGGGCAAATGCCTCTCTCCGTGTGTGCCCCCCACCCCATGTCTGGTGCCCCCCACACCCACACTGAAGCCCTTCAGCCCCCAGTGCCCTGGGCATCTGCATGGTTGTGGGTGAGCCATTGCCACGCACAGGCCTGATCCTCGGGCTGCTGGCTTCTGAGCTCGGGCCGGACTGAGCAGCCAGCTCCTGGTGGGTAACTCAGCGCCTCCCCACAGAGCAAGCCATGGACCACAACCAGGACCGGGAGGCCACCGTCCGGGAGAACCGGGCCCGCACCCGTGTGCTCAGCAAGGAGGTGCGGCACCTGCGGGAAGAGAAGTCCAAGCAGGTGAGCACGGTGCCGCCTGACAGCCCCGGCCCGGCCTGGCTGCGTGATGGAAGGTCCCTCCTGGGCCCGGCCCGGCCCCGGCCACCGTCCCTTCCTCTGGGCCCTGGACCCTCTCTGAGTGGCCGACACCAGGCCCTGGCGCTGCTTCCCTGGTCTGACCCTCTGGCCGGGTGAGCAGGTCCCCTTCGTCCCACCGAGCCCGGCCCTGACGGGGCTCTGGCGTCTCTGTCCCCAGTTTCTGGACTTAATGCAGACCATCGATAAGCAGCGGGAGGAGATGGCCAAGAGCAGCCGGTGAGCTGGCTCCGCTGGGACGCCCGGGGATCGGTCCTGCCTCTGACCTGGGGGTGGCCTAGCCTGAGCCTCACCACCTGCTCACCAGTGAGGTCGTGGCGTGTGCTCCCATGACGTTGGCTCGAGGGTGCAGGCAGCATGGCACTCGCCAGCCCAGTGCCTGGGGTGTGGTGGGAGCAGGAGAAAGGGCGCTGCCCCAGGGTCCGGGGACGGGGGTGGGGGGTGGGGAACGACACTCTGGGTTCCTGACCCCTCTCTCTGCCCGAAGGGCGTCGGCAGTGCGCGTGGGACAGCTTCAGGAGGCCCTGGATGAGAGGCACTCCATCATCAACGCCCTCAAGGCCAAGTGAGTGGCGGGAGGGCAGGCGGTGGGAGGGAGACTCTGGAATGCTGTAGAGACAGGCCCACGGGACAGAGGAGGGGGTGCAGACACGGACCCAAGTTCCTGTGCATAAAGGTGGGAAACGGCTTGATGGTAACCCCGCAAGGCTTCTTGGAGGAGGTGAATAGGGCCTGGCGAAAGTGAGGACAGGACGGGAGGTTTTTGTAAGGCGAGGTGAGGCTGGGGCAGGGCTCACGGAGGGGGTGGTGGATTTGTCCCCCTTGCAGGCTGCAGATGACCGAGGCCGCCCTGGCGCTGTGGGAGCAGAAGGCCCAGGACCTGGGGGAGCTCCTGGCCGCGGCGGGGCAGGAGCAGCAGAGCCTGGCACAGAGGCTGGCCAAGGAGCCCCGGCTGGAGCAGCAGGTGGGGGGGCAGGGGCGGCGTAGACGATAGGCGGTTCGTGGTGGCAGGTGGCCAACCAGGATGCCCTTCCCCGTCTCACCCCTAGGAAGCTGCAG